AACTCACCACCAGTATTTTTCATTGAGAAAATGCATTACTTACTTACTTACTCATGGAGCTGAGTCCTTCCAGAGGAGCCACCAATTCTGCTGCTACTCAAGAAAATCCCAGCATTTTATGGAACCCAAAGGTTCATTACCATGTTCACAAGAGCCCTCCACTTGTCCCTATCCTGAGCCAGATCTATCCAATCCATCCTATCTCTCCAAAATCCATTTTAATATTGTCCACCCAACTATGCCTTGGTCTTCCCACTGGTCTCTTTCCTTCTGGCTTTCCCACCAATATCCTATATGCATTCGTCTCCCCTTTTTGTGCTACATGACCTGCCCACTTTATCTTCTTTGACTTGATCATTCTAATTATACTTGGAGAAGAGTACAAGTTATGAAGCTCCTCGTTATGCAGTTTTCTCCAACCTCCTGTCACTTCATCTCTTTTCGGTCCAAATATTATCAACACCCTGATTCTACGAACATCTATGTATGTTCCTTAATGTCAGAGACCAAGTTTCACACCCATACAGAACCAATTATAGTTTTGTATATTCTAATTTTTGTTTTTTGGGCAGCAGAAGAGAAGACAAAAGGTTCTGGACTGAATGGTAGCAAGCATTACCTAAGTTCAATCTCCTCTTAATTTCCTCCTGAGTCAAGTTTCCATCTGTTATCGTTGTTCCCAAATATCTGAACTGTGCCACATTTTCAAAACACGTTTCCTATCTTCATGTCATGATTTTGACCTGCATTTTGGTGATGAGACAGCAACATATACTTAGTTTTCTCTGCGTTTACTTCTAGACCAATTTTTTTTCTTGCATCAATTAAAGTTTGTTTTTCTTTATGGTACTATATTATCAGCCAGTTTATTCACATCATCGACACAGGCCAACAGCTTATGTGTCCCGTTTCATTTCAGTCCCACCTGGTTTCCCTGGACCTACTTAATGGCATATTCTAAAGCAAAGTTGAAAAGTAGTGATGATAAAGCATCTCTTTGTTTTAGACCATTCTGGATAGGAAATTTATCAGACAAATGTTTACCTACACAGACTTTACTATACGTGTATGTTTCGTTTAAACACATTTTTATCAACCTAACTAGTTTCATGGGTATCCCAAACTCTATCAGAATATTGTGAAATACTTCCCTCATAACTGAATAGGGTTTCTTGAAGTCTATGAATAGCTGATGTACTGTCTCATCATACTCTCATTTTCTCTCCTATATCTGATGAATGCAAAAGATCTGATCTTTAGTTGACCTGTTACTTCAAATCCCACACTGATGATACCCACTAATTTCATCTATATATGGACTTAACCTTGAGAGAATACTGGACAAAATTTTGTATGAACTTCATAGCAGTGATATCCCCCGATAATTACTACAGTCAGTTTTATCACCCTTCTTGTGAACTGGTACAATAATAGACTCCTTCCACTGATCAGGCAAGTTTTCCTTATGCCAAATAGAAGTAATTAGATTGTGGATCGTAGAACGTAATATTTCGCCTCCTGCTTCAATACGTTCTGCCAGAATTTGATCACTACCTGGTGATTTATACCCTTTCAATTTTGCAAAAGCACTTTCAACCTCAAAAGGGATAGGATCAGGTATTAATGACTCAGGTCTATGGATTTCTGTCTGCCTAACATCACTAACCCTATGTACATTCAATAACTGAGACAAGTAGTTCCTCCGCCTATTCAAAATGTTGTGGGAATACTGCTAGGCTGGTAACCCCTCTTAAAGTCATTTATTCCTCTATACAGGTCTCTAATGTTCTTGTTCTTACTGTTCATTGCAAGCTCATCAAGATTGTCTTTCAGATATTCCTTCTTTTTGTTCCTAAAATGCCTGCTGGTTTCACGTCTTACATTGTTCAGATTATCCCCATTTAACTTGCTTGGATCCTCTAACCATTGCAATTTGGCCTGCTTTCTTTGATCTAATAATTTTGAGCATCCTTCATCGAACCATGGCTTATGCTTCTTTGGTTCATATTAACCTAGACTCTCTCTGGCACATTTTTATACTCCCTCTAATAGTTTCCCAAGCTTTATTAACATCCACCTAAGTTTCCAAGTTTTCCAAAGCCACAAACCTATTTGAGATTTCAACACAATACTGCTCTTTACCCTCTACCTCATTTAATTTCTTGAGATTGAACTTCTTCATATGAACTCTGTGTGCTGTTTGTTTGCTCACTGCCAGTCTTTCACTAACCTTTGCCACCACCAAGTAGTGGTCAGTATCACAATCTGCTGCCCTGAATGATCGGACATCAAGTATACTGGAGTGCTGTCTCCTATCTATCAAAATATGGTCTATCTGATCGTGTATCTTCCCATCAGGAAATGTCCAAGTAATATTATGGATGTTATGATGTGGGAACATTGATCTTCTGACAGTAAGATTTTTTGCTGTGGCAAAGTTTACTACTCTAACTCCATTATCATTACTAATTTCGTGTAAACTCTCATTCCCAACTGTTAGTTTGCAAATGTCTTCCCTCCCTACTTTGGCATTGAAATCTCCTAACAAATTTTTCATAGGGTACCTCGGGAATTTATCAAATACATGTTCTAGTTCTTTATGGAATCTATCCTTTGTGTCATCAATTTTATCTTCTGTTGGGAAGTGAACATTCATGACAATGATATCACACGAGTGACCTTTTAGTATTATATATGATATCCTATCACTAATGAATTCTACCCTCTTAACTGCTGAAACGATTCTCTTATGTACGAAAAAACCTGTACCTAATTCATGACTTTCATTCTCCTTTCCTTAGAAAAATGTAGTCTCCTGCTGGTGCGGTGCCACCTCCGTCCCATCTGACCTCCTGTACTCCCGCTAAATCTAACTTATATTTTAAGATTTCTTCTGCCACTGCCCTGAGCAAACCTGTCCTATACAAACTCCAAACATTCCAAGTGCCAAATCTCATATCCATTTTCTTTAGCTTAGATCGTTTAACCAAGGAGGCCATCCAGGTCCGAGGCTTTGTGTTCATTTTCGTAACATACTTATCTTTTACGATGAGTTGTTAGCCCTGCGCCCAACACCCAAGCTGGAGGACCACCCCTTGTCAGCTGTCTGCGACTGCTTATTAAATATATTTGCAGCTTCCCTCCAAAACTGGAGGGCATCTCCTACATCAGCAACCTGAGGACGTGCCATGCCATGGTGTTAAGGGACCCACCTAACATGGAGAAAATGCTGGGGAAACTTGAAAGAAAATTCTGTTTCCATCAGAGATACATACATTAAACCCCATAACTTACACTTGAAAGCCATACAGAACGCAGTTTTTCGGTTACATTCAAGTATTATAAATCATATATTGCAAGAAACAATACTCATGTTCCCATTTATTATTATTTTCATTAGAATGATGGAATTCGAGAATGTGAAATACACTCATCAACAACATTAAGACTGCATTTAATGATATAAGAAAATCTGATATATATTCATCTTCGCCAGTTCAGTACTGGGCAGAACAATATGGCAGAAATAATAACATATCTACTGAAAATCTGTTATCTGTTCATATTCCAGTTCAGTAATGGAATGGTTTATATGGCAAAAGTAACATATCTTACAAAAAAATGTAAGGAATACTGAAAATCTGGTACCTATTCATATACCGGTTCAGTAATGGAAAGGATTATATGGCAAAAGTAACTTATCTTACAAAAAAATGTAATGAATACTGACAATCTGGTATCTCTTCAACTTTCACTTCAGTATTGGATACGATTATATAGCAAAAATGAATAAAATATGTTAAATAAATACAATTACTATTGAAAATCTTATGTTTATGTTCACCAGTCCAGTACAGGTAGCATTATATGGCAAAAGCAAGAGAAGGAATACACCTATAACAACAGAAGTGAATAACAATGTAACGAAAATGAAACAGGTAAAGAAATTACATAAATAGTCCTACCCACATTCAATCCTGATACTGATGCTGCTTCTCAGAGTTTCACACTGAGGTGGATAACCTGAACTTTGCAAGTCAATTATAAAGTAATGCCTCTTCATTCTTACCTACACATAAAGAAGACTCATGTGCGTCAGAAAACAATTTCCCATACACTTGATTGAAATATAATTTCTTGAAGATAAAGGCCTGAATAAACACTGACCCAGTGAAGTTCTAATATTCTGAGACAAAGGAAACATGTTTGCAAAGAGGGGAGGAGATGGAGCTCAAGTTCAAAATAAGTTTCGTGTATGTAATCGAACTGTGGTTGACCATGTTTTCATTCACTGCAACATGTTTGCAAAGCAGGAAAGAGATGCAGCTCAAGTTCAAAGCAGGTTTCTTGTGTGTAAGTGAACTGTGGATGACAATGTTATCATTTGCTGCACAGTAGTTTCTGTTGCTGCATTGCAACTGCTTGTCACCAGGGACACTTTCTCCATCTTATGAAACATTTAATGATGCTCATGTGACTAGTTGGCACACATATTCTTCCAGTAATTTCATAACTGCTCTCTGTCAATTTCCAGGGTTGGTATGGGCAGGCCATTATAAGGGAAAAATGAAGAAGCATTACTTTCCTATGACTTACCGATGAGACAGAATCTTCATCTTCCTCTCTGTAGTCCTCTGCCTGGTTGCTTCAGTCATCAACCTGTTTCTTCGCTTACACCACCAAGGAAAGTAAATTCATGTGAGACATCTCACAATACTATCTGCTATTCGTTGGTGGTGAAGTGAACAGCCAGAACACCTAATCCACTCGAAGTCAATGGTGCTCTTGATGGCAGCTGTGATATGCTGCTCCACTGAGTTCAAGTGGGCAGCCTCTGTCATTATAGACACCATCAGAGTTACAATAGTACCAACAGTCTCCACAAGCTTCTCAGAAGGATAGGTCAGAGACTGTTCTGTATCACTGCACTCCTTGAAATATATGAAGACACTGGCTGATAGCAGCACTTCAGATGTCAGGCATGTCTTGCATGCATCACAGCTGACACCGCAAAGCACCTGTCTGGCAATGGAACCACTGACATAAGCTACTGAGAACACTTCCATGTCACCAGCAGGTACTGCAGGACTCATGTCCATCTGTACTTGCTGAGCAACATGGGAACTCTCAGGCACACCAGCAGGGGTTTCCTTGTCATGACTTGTGGAAGGATTTCGTGAAGCAGCTTCAGGTGCCCTGACAAGCGATTGCAGATTATCCAGAAGAGTAGCACCATCATCCTCACAATTACTTTCTCCCAGTCCTCTAAATGCAAGGCCATTGATGATGCTAGTCTTCAGGGCATCTACAAACTGTCCCACAGTTGGGTTATTGTTTGAACCACAGTTTAAACAAATAGCTCCAAATGTGTTCTCAAGGGGGTCCTGATTCAGGTTTTGGGTGTGAAGATACTCAAAACCCGCCTCTTTCAGTGTCCTTCACACATGCTGGGCAGCAGTGATGTCAATCAGCCACCCATTGTGTGCAAGAGGAGGATGAAGAAAGGCGGGTTTACCATCCTTGAGGAAGATCCAACTCTTTATCCCCATACTTGCCTTTTTCCAGAGCTCTATATGGGGACTGTTGTCACTGAGTGGGCAACTCAGTGTTTTCCTTCGGCCAACACTTGTTCCACCATTGAAACTACTGAAGAGGTTGTCAACCTCCTCAACAAACACAGCTGTTACCATGTATTCACTGCTGCACCCACCTGAGTGGGGGGAGGGGGGAAACAGAAGTTAGTGCGCCTTCTAACGTGGTGAATTACATTTTCTTTACGTTGGAAAATAACACATTACTTTACAAAGGACTAACGTTATACAAAACTTGTACATTTCATTACATTATTCCTCATATTAAAATCTTTGCCACCAAATTCATCTTAATCATATCACTGATAGTTTCGTCTGATTTCAAATATTTTTTAATTATCCTAAAAACAGTATCTGTGACATATTCTACATAACTTGTATATTAATATACAGTTTCAGAAGTCAATTGAAGTCAGATGATAATGACGTTTGTTTGATTGCAACTGGGTTCTGAGGCAGTAACTTTGAAAACTAGTCCCCATTATTAGTCACTTCATTCATATAAGAAACATATACTGCTTACCTATATCCACTAGAGCATTGAGGCTTGCTGCACATCTGTTAATGTGTACCCTTTCAGCTGTAGTGAAATCACTTTCAGAGAAATGTTTGTTGCACAGAACTTTATTGTGCAGCATTCTAGCAGAATTAGTAGTACAGGATAACCCAACTCTTCCTGCCCATACCATAGCCCTGTAAGAGTATTACATATTGTCTCAAAACCTTGAAATAATTCATCAGGAAACATTACAAACATCGTGTAGGTGCTACACTACATCATGTACTAAAACAGACATTCATTCATTTATTTACTTTCCATTAATCCTTATATGGCTGGAAGAACAGTGGTTATAGTAATAGTCAAAGACAACAGGACAAGTTCCATCAATGATATAAATAAAAATTATTTATATCTAACCCATAACAATTACACATATTATCAAAGACAAATCACAGTGAGTAAATCATTAACACAGTTTTCAAATATATATGTGAAAGAATGCAGCACACTAATGACACAAAGCCTACAATAATGAAACATAAAAGTATACTACTAGGCATCCAGCCTACAACAGACCAAGATCATTAATTAATATTGAGGTTAAATTATTCCTCCAATGAGTAAAATAGACTTAACCTTTGGTACCTATCTTTCACATAAGATTTTATCAATGCACTGGCCTTACCAACTATTCCATAAAATTCTACTTTAGACAGAAAGAGGTAGATATAGAGATAGACAGAAATATGGACACAGTCAAAAGTTTTCTTCAAACCACAAAAAAGCCGATGAACATTATTGGTATTGATGTTGTCCAGCTATTGTTCGAAAATAATTATTAAAAGAATCTGTAATCACATCATGAGTATCAGTTAACTTCCCATCAATGTTCAAAAACTGTGTACCTGCATTATTAATTTTTCTACCTGTGTCTGATTTTATAATGCTCCAGGTGGTTTTCATTTTGTTACTAGAATTAGAAATTAATTGATTATAATGAAGACTTTTAGCTCCTTTAATAACACTGGCCAAAATATTACATTATGTTTTATAATAATATTTCAGATCTGGCTCATACCGTGCTGAATCCATGGGAAAATTGAAGAATATCATTCCAGTTTCCTCACTGGAAGACGTGCATTCTGGAGCAAAACACTTCTTCCTTCCCATTTATACTGCAAGAAACAATACAAAAAGTGTAACAGGATCACAGTACACTCTCACTTTCTTTAGATTCTACGGTCCTTCTTTAGGCTACACCGAAAGATGCTTAAAATACAGAAATATGATTTGGATGAAGTACCACAGTAACACTGATGTCATGTTTGTTTCTAATTTCACTGGGCGTAGTAAGCATAATCCACATACATAAGTAACACACAGATGTAAATTCATGCGTAAATGTCAACTCTCGTTTCACAACATCAAATCAAAGTCCCTACTTACTAATTAATCTAATTAATTGCAGAACATACCTCAATGTCGTACACATATCATCATTAACTATGCAGCCTTACTGAGACAACGTCCTAAACCTTCAACGGAAATTTAAGATCCTCTAGATGCTCTAGATTGGCTCATACTTATGCGATTCACCTAACTGCGATAGGTGTATTACGATCGATTCCAGTCATTTCCAGACTATCTAGTTCATGTACCTGTAGATGGATGTTCTGCATGTTTCCCTCCCCTGGTCACATGGCATTTCTCCTGCCATCTCTACGCAGATGTATCCTAACTAAATGAGAAATGGCCACCAACACTGACAGCATGATCAATAAAATAGAATGCTACCATACCATCCCATGCGTCGTCCTCTCCCCCTCAAACCCTCTACCATCTCATGGACCCAACAGTTCACATGAATAGCAATAAATAATTTTGCAATCATATCTCTTGTGCTGCAGAGATACTTACTCTGTTGTTCTTTTTTTTATTTTTCTGAATGGGGTTCAATATCACTTCACTCATATCCCTTCCAAAGGATGAGTGAAGTGATACTGAACCCAATTCAGAAAAAGGAAAAAAAACAATGGAGTAAGAATGCCTGCAGCACAAGGGGTCAGGGTTGCAAAATCAGAAAGATTCTCAGGAGTGCCTGTAAAGACATAACATTTCATTCCTACCAATCCAACATCTCCTTACCAAAATGCATTGACATTGTGAACTATAACATACATAAATACTTGCATTTAGGAAAGAAAATTCTGTTTCCATCAGACATCCTTCCATTTAACCACACCTTTTGTAAGAACTCACACTTGAAAGCCACACAGAACATAGTTTTTTGGTTACATCAAATCATTGTAAATCATATATGGCAAGCAGTAGTACTGATGTTTCCATTTATTATTAATTTCATTAGAATGACATTCAGTACTGGACAGGCCTATATGGCAACATTACAATGAATACTGAAATCTATATGGGAAAGAGTAACATACCTTACAGAATACTGGAAATCTAATATTGATCTTTCATTTCAGTAATGCAGTGGATTATATGGCAAATTAATATATCTTACAGAATACTGGAAACATGGTATTCATCTTCTACTTCAGTACTGGACAGGATTATGTGGCAAAATTAATAACATATCTTAGAGATTATTATTATTATTAAAAAAAAAATACTGTAAATCTGATATTCATCTTCCACTACAATACTGGACAGGATTATGTGGCAAAATTAATATCTTACAGAATAACAGAAATCTGATATTCCTTCCATTACAATAATACTGGACAGGATTATGTGGCAAAATTAATATCTTACAGAATAACAGAAATCTGATATTCCTTCCATTACAATAATACTGGACAGGATTATGTGGCAAAATTAATATCTTACAGAATACCGGAAATCTGATATTCCTTCCTTTACAGTACTGTGAAGGATTATATGGCAAAATTAATAACACATCTTACAGAATACTGGAAATCTGATATTCATCTTCCACTTCAGTGCTCAACAAGAATAAATTGCAAATATAACAACATATCAGAGTATTAAGATGATGAAGTGGAAAAAGTGTATGACACAATTGAAGAAATTCTTCAGGAAGATGGAAGAGGAGACACAAACAGCATCATATTGGGAGACTGAAATAGCATCATTGGAGATGAACCATATCAGAATATTGTTGGATCACATGGACTAGGAAGATAGAATCACAGGGGTCAAATGCTTATTGACTTTTGTGAACGAAATGGCTTGATTGTTACCAACACTTGGTTCAAGAAGCCAAAGAGAAGAATTTACACATGGAAGGCACCTGGGGATTGGAGGAGACATCAGCTGGACTACATCCTTGGGAAACACCGATTCAGAAACAGTGTGAAGGATGTGAAGACACTTCCTGGGGCAGATATTGACTCTGACCACAACTTCCCAAGTTCCGAACCAGGTTGAAGAAAATTATAGGATTTCGAAAGCGCAGACCCAGATGGGATTTGGAGAAGTTATATGCTCAAAGACAAAGCATGCAAGAGACCCTAGAAGAGAAACCTGGTGCAAGTGAAGGTGAAAGCGGAAATGCTGAAGCGCAGTGGAACAATATAAAAGAATGCATGTTAGATACTATCAGTGATTTGGTTGGTAAAGTTGAGAAGATAGCAAGAAAACCATGGGTTACACAGGAGATGATGAGTAAAATGGAGGAGCGAAGGAAATGGAAGAATGTCAACAATGAAGAGGGCAGGAGGAAATACAGGAGACTGAGGAATGAATTGAAAAGAGCCACGGACAGGGCCAAAAACGAATATCTTGAGAAGATATGTAATGAGATTATAGAATTTCAAAGAACAGGACGTTATGATTTGATGTACATGAAGACAAAAGAACTAGGATGGAAAGAGAATCATGGGATTCAAAATGTTGGCATCAAAGACTCCCAGGGGAATAGAATAGTACATCAGAAGCAAGTGTTGAAAATTTGGGAAAATTATATTACAGAACTATATGATCAACCTAATCGGCCAGAAACCTTAGAAGTTGAACCAGAAGAAGAAGTAGATACAGACGAGAAAGGACCATATATTTTACAAAGTGAGGTGGAAAAAGCTATCAAGGAAATGAGGAAGGGAAAGGCTACAGGAGATGATGATGTACCTGGAGATGTGCTCAAGTTACTGGGAGAAGGTGGTTTGAAAACACTGACAAAACTAATGAACACCATATATGAAAGTGGAGAGTGGCCCAAGGACTTTACAGAAGTTACAATGATTGCCTTAAAGAAAAAGACAAAAGCTACAAAATGCAGCGACCATCGCACAATAAGCCTTATTGCACATACAGCAAAGATAATAGCAAAGATACTTAAAAGAAGAATTGAAAGGAAAATAGAGGATGTACTTGGAGAAGATCAGTTTGGATTTAGAAGAGGAAAAGGAACCAGGGATGCAATTGGGATGATGAGAATTATAGCGGAACGAACTTTGGAGATAGATGAAGAACTGTGTGTTTGCTTCATAGACTGGCAGAAGGCATTTGACCGGGTAAACTGGACCAAATTAATGCAGATCCTGAAAGAAACAGGTATCGATTGGCATGAAAGAAGATTGATTAGCAAATTGTACATGGATCAGAAAGTTAGAGTACGACTGGACAGGGGGGAGACAGGAAGTGTGCAGATTGGAAGAGGAGTTCGACAAGGATGCTGTTTATCACCAATTCTGTTCAACTTGTACAGCGAATGCCTTACCAAGGAAGCTCTGGATGGGCTCGGTGACTTCAAAGTAGGAGGGCAAATTATTCAAACTGTGAAATATGCAGATGACCTTGTGTTAATGGCTAAGGAAGAAACTGTGCTACAGGGCATGATTGATAGACTAATTGAAATTGGAAGGTGCTATGGCATGGAAATGAATGTGGAGAAAACAAAAGTAATGAAAATTTCGAGACAACCAACCCCAGTCACAATAAAGATAGACCAAAAACAAGTGGAGAATGTGAAATGTTTTAAATATTTGGGTAGCTTGTTAACAGATGATGGAAGGTGTACTTGTGAAATTAAATCCAGGATTGCCATGGCAAAAGCTGCATTTAGCAAGAAGAAGAATCTTTTTACCAGCAAATTGGACTTAAATTTGAGGAAGAAACTAGTTAAATGCTACATTTGGAGCATAGCTCTGTATGGGGCTGAAACATGGACACTTAGGGCAGCAGATCAGAAACATCTGGAAAGTTTTGAAATGTGGTGTTGGAGAAGGATGGAGAAGATCAGTTGGACCGATTATGTGAGAAATGAAGAAGTGTTAATTAGAGTCAGTGAGCAGAGGAATATCCTACACGAAATAAGAAAACGGAAGGCTAATTGGATTGGTCATGTTTTACGCAGAAACTGCCTTCTAAAAGAAGTTATTGAAGGAAAGATAGAGGGGCGGATAGAAGTGACAAGAAGACGAGGAAGAAGACGTAAGAAGATGCTGGATGACCTTGGGGAGAGAAGAGGATACTGTCATTTGAAGGAGAAAGCTCTAGATCGCATTAAGTGGAGGAATTGTTTTGGAAGAGATTGTGGACCGGTCATCTTGACAGATTACTGATGATGATGATGATGATGATAACAACATATCTTACAGACTTTTGATCTGTTTCCTCCTGGTCCGTCACACTAACAATATTATAAAAGGTAAATTATGTCTGTCCACTGTGACTGGACATCAGTGACTTCAGTCACACAAGATGGAATTAACTAACCTTTTATAATATCTTACAGAATATTCGAAATCTGATACTCATCTTACATTTCAACACTGGATGGCAGTACTTGGCAAAATTAATAACATATCTTAAGGAAATGCAATGATTATTGGAAATCTTATATTCATGTTCACCAGTTCAGTACTGGACAGAGTAATATGGAGAAAAATAAGAAGGAATATACCCATAATAAAGAGAGAGAATAATAATATAACAAGAAAATAAATTAGGGCAAAGAGTAGACCTGCAATAATAATAAAACAGAATAATAACGAAAATATTAAAATAGTTAAATAAATTACACAAAGGCTCTACCCACACTGAATCCTGATATTGATCTTGCTGAAGCGGATAACCAGTGCTCTATACTGTGGACTGTTATCGCTTAGTGAGCAACACAGTGCTCTCAAGGGTCAACAGGTGTTCCACCATTTAACCTCTCAAAGAGTTTGTCAACCTCCTCATTATGTGCAGCTGTTGCCAGGTATTCAATGCAGCACCCTCCTCAATAAACAAAAGAAATTAGTGTGCTTCCTTACATGGTAGATTACCATAATTCTTTGCATTGTGAGCCCCCACCCTACTAGCTGGGGGGACGGGTGTTCTCGTGTTATTTCAATCCACCAAATAAATACAACAGACGTAAACAATAAAATCAAATAACATTTAATAAATGATTAACAAATTGTACCAAAAGGAAAACACAACAGTAATTTGGCATAACCAGGCACGAGATCTCTTAACCCAACTCGTAGACCACGCCCTTCTGTGCCACAGGCGGCGTGTAAGACATTTTTACAAGAAACTCATGCTACATAATTCCATCTCAAAAAAAATCGCCTTGGCACACAATACAAAGAAAAGCAAAACATACAGACTCTCGGCTTACAGAGTTCTTCCAAGAATCAACAATGGAATAGCAACATTATTTGTATTACCTGGAGATGGGCCCTCCTGCCTGGAGTCTACTGCCAAACCAAATCTTTTCAAGGCGCCGGCCTAAACAGAATTTGTTATGGAGCGACACGTCTGTTCGCTACAACGTTCCAGGCAGAAGAGACTGGTGCCTTGGCCGCATCAGGAAAGGCAGGGGAGTGATGACATAAGATACGCCACGGAATAAGGATAAGTGGTAAGGAATGTAGGTAAACAAATGGTAGGAGTCGCGGCCACCGCTGCTCAGAGAGGGCACTACATCCAATGAGCCGAAGAGATCGACTCAATTGGGAAATAACAAATATTACTTTACAACATACTGCCTCTATAAAAATTTTTTTCACTGATTACTTTACTCCTCATAGTAAAGTCTTTACCACCTCATTCTCTCATAAATCATATTACTGACAGCATGTTCTGCTTTTCAAACATTTTTTAATTATCCATGACCTGTATACTGATATACAGTTTCAATAGTGATAAATGATGACAATGACGTTTGTTTGATTACAACTGGGTTCTAGGGACAACAACTTTGAAAACTAGTCCTCATTATTAGCCACTGCATTTATAAAAGAAGCACTGATTGCTTACCTGAAATGGTGTGTAATGATCAGGAGGTTGTGGGAGTGATTGTGCTGCAGAATCTGAGCTACATGGAACTGCAAATCTGTTCAGCTGCACAAAAATTTATAATACACCATTCTAGTAGAATCATTAGTGCAGGATATCCCAACTCTTCCTGCCCACACCATAGCCCTGTAAGAGTATTACATATTGTCTCAAAACCTTCAAATAATTCATCTCTAAGTATTACAAACATGGTGCTGGTGCTACGTTGAGGGGTAAAGTTTAATGCATTTAATACATACACCAGCTAAACTTAATTTCCTCGTTGGATAAGCAACACATAATAAAGCCATTACATCATGCATTAAACAAGACTTACCGTGCTGAATACCTGGGAAAGTTGAAGAGTTTCAAACCTGTCTGCCTACTGGATGACGAACACCCTGGCCAAGTGCAAAATTTCTTTTTTCCCATTTATCCTGCAAGAAACAATACATATATTATAACACAATCACAGGACACGGTGAGTTTCGAGATTCTACACACCTTCTTTCAGCTACATCGAAAGATGCATAACCTACAGAAATATCTTAAAAGGAAATTTTCACTACATATAAATTTCTAACTTAATTTCATAAACAGTAACATGGCGATTTAACTTAAAGAGTAAACGTCAGCTCTTATTCACCACATCAAATCAAATTCCATACTTCCCAACAATCAACCACGAAACCGTGCCACTTAACTTTGCGATAACTACATACTATAACCCGCTATAACCATTTCCCGAGAGATCGATTACCATCGATCCATCGATCATCACTTTAATCGATGTCCAAAAGGGCAGATCGTTCTGTGAAGCATGGGATGACACTCAAGTTTTCGTCAATGAGTTGTGAAACGCGTGAGGTAACGAGTACTCGTTGTCATAAATTTAAAATATAACTCAGATCAGAACAAAATATTATTATACTGCTACAAGAAGAGATAAACAATCAAGTCCATCTTCCCCTTACCTGAGTGTCTGCTTTTTATCCCTGTGACAGAACAGGAGCAGCCCTATGGATAGGTGGTATTAGGTGATGAAATTGTCCCTAGCTACAGGATTCTGTGCCATGTTTAGTTCCTGCATTGTCTGAATATGCTCCAGTTATTAAATGTTGCACAGAACTTTGTAGTAAAGTTCATTATGATGTTCCCATCTTGGTTACTGTACTCTACAACACCATTGTACCCTAGAGAAACTATATTGTAATTTAACCTGAAGGCTATTAAATTGTTTCTCTCAGTTTGTTGTGGTGGGCCTCAAACCAGTAAATCATATCCTCACATTTAAGTAATATTGTCATCCTTCCTTACTGTGCTACAAACTGAAAGGTCATGAGTTCGATTCCCAATTAGGTAATTGGATTTTTAGATTGACCGAATCCTTCCAGTCACACTATGACCCTGGGGTCAAGTCATCCTCTAACAGAAATGAGTACCAGGAATAATTTTGGGGGTTAAAGGGCAGCCGGCGTGTAAGGCTGACATCCTCACTGCCATCTGTGAGCTTATTATCGAGAAAGTATGGGAGTCTTGACGTCTCGCAGACCTATGGTCCTCCACGGCCTGTTACAGGGATAGCTTTACTTTTTTTTTTATATACTATCATCCTTTCTTGTATTTTGGTTATTGAGACCTGTTATGGCCTCCTGCCAAATGAGCACCAGGGTCTGTTTCCCTGAGTGTGGGAGTGGCATGGAGCTGGCCACTCACCTCCATCTGGAGCAGAACTAATTAAGCATAGAGACAGCTTTGCATTTATGGATGCTACAAAACAGAATGCTGTATACCTACATAATTTAACTGTTTGTGATTTGTAATGTTTGTAGGTGGCAGAGTCAGTACTTGAGAGAAACACAGAAGGCGGTTCCATTGTGCTGATTGCTACAGCAGAATTCTGCCGCACACTGGGTGACATCCCCACTTAAGGTCTGGCTGGCAGCAGGGATGAGGACGCTCAGGAACCACTTGTGAGTGTAATATAACCATTCGCAGATAAATGTACATTTGGCAAGGCACTTTGATTTAGCATGTGTTGAGACTAGATACAATCCATTGCCCATCTATAGTTATTTACTGCAGCTGCAACAGAGTTAGAATATATTTTAATTATAGTTGAATTCCATGATAATGGATATATAAATTACTGAACTGGAAACATCCAACAGAAATCCTAGAAATGAAAGCACTCGTTATACAATAAGAATGTGATAGTTGAGATGATAGAACCTTTTTGTTCTTCTTCTTCTTGACAAGTGGGTCCTTCTGAAATAAAATGCCATATAATGTGGTAAAGTCCATAAGCATTTTGAAGGAATGTCAGTGGACTTACAGGGTGTTACTTCCAAGAAGATGATGCCTTTCTTAATCTCCTCTAATTTCAAATCCAGCCTTTTTTTATCTTTTATTTCTTTTTTCTCCCTGTGCCACGTGCATGATACAAGGGTAGAAAGATACTACTAGGAATTATATGTGAAATTGAAATAGGGATGAATAAATAGCTCAGAACATGGCAAAATGGAAAACCAATAGTTCTTGTAATTTTATCCCTTTCAAAGTGAATTGAATGTTAATTGTCACAATATTCTCACTGCAAAGTCAGAATTAGTTTGGCAGGTGTACATTGCTTGGCAGAATGAGAGTTTGTTTCTAATAGAACTGTAACTTTGAAACATACTGTGATATTAAAAAGACACATTTTGGCAAAGCCATTTCAAGATGATCAGTATAGTCAGAAGAATTGTCTTCTGGGGTATCATCCGAATTTCCAGGGGAACATGTCACCTGAATCTTCCGGGTCAAAGAATAAATGAAACAAGAAGCCAGCATGAAGCAGGTAGGAAGGTTGGCTTTGTTACCTGCCAGCGCTGGTTTCTTGCTTGGTTTATTCTTCAACCCTGAAGATGGAGGTGACATGTGTCTCCAAAATGTCTGTTGACTTTCGACAGACTACATGGCATTATGTTCCAGATGACAGAACTCTTCAAAACCACTGCTGACAGCAGCTCAAATCCTACACAGTGTAGTCAGTACTTTACAGTGCAGTAATTTTTTATATAGTGGTTGGTGGGTAAGCAGTTCAGGTGTCAGTATATCTCAAAGTAATGAATTGGTAATTTTTGGACTGCGCATTTGCGTTCTGCTAATCTTGTACAAAATTTACATTACAGGACTTGAGACGGAAATGATTGAATGGAAGAAACTTCAGGAAGAAGAAGGCAAACGTGGAGCTTGGAATGAAGTTGAGATTTGTGAGTCACTAGCAGATTCTTTATGTACCACATAAGCCTATTCAAATTAAGAGATATTGACACTTTAGTATTTGTTTTAATTGTCCGTTTATATTTTAAGTATTTCATAAATGGTCTACCATATTTAATCGTATACTGCAGTTTTGTTAGGGGTTTTAGTAGAAACACGTTAATCATTACTGTTTAATATTAGTAGTGGTAGGATAGTTGGTTGAGGCACTATGCTACAAGTTGGAAGGTTGTGGGTTGAAGTCGTGACAAGGTCATTAATTTTTTTCAATTTACCTAATCCTTCCAGCCTCACTATGGCCCTGGGGTCAGCTCAGCCTCTTAACAGAAATGAGTACCAGGAATTTTCGTGGGCGTAAAGTGCGGCTGGTGCGTAAGGCTGACACCCTCACCACCATCTGTGAGTCAATTGTCTAGAAAATGTGGGAGCCTTAATGTCTCACAATGCTATGGGCCTCCACGGTCTGCTACAGGGATAACTTGCAGACTGAGTCACCTGAGTTGTCCTGTAGCTGTCAAGTCTTCTCCGCAGCAGACCTTAAGGAAGAGAGTTGTCATGGGCGCAAGGATTGGCCACTTGCTTTGATTATGGAGTAGAGTAGGAGATTTTGAAGGTTAAAGAATATCTGAGCTTTGAATACTTTGTCATCTCCTCTATAACTGGATTGCAAGTCTTATCTTTTCTCGGGATTGACCCACTTGAGTATTAGAGAGGTGTACATGATGGTCAAGACAGGACTAAGTAAGCAAGGAAGACTAATTAAGGAATTATATATATAGCATTCCTTTATCTTTTTCAGAGATGATGAAAATTTGTACGTAATGAGCGCTACAGTGGTCCGACCTCAGACTTCAAAGAAAAGGAGGGCTACAAACCAAATGTTAAACTCAACTACACAGATTATGATGGACACATACTTAATACAAAGGAGGCTTTCAGGTTAGCACAGATAATAGTATATCAGTTTTTTAAGATAGGTCGCACTGTGGTGGGTAGCCTGTCCAATGGTAGTACATTCTTTAGAGCAGAAAAAGTTTCCACAGTAATTGCCATTTAAGAAAAAATTACAAGGCGGAAGTGGTTTTTCAGTGTAAACAGAGAAGATTATGGGACCACCGTGTTTATCATTTGTGTATGCCATCCTCACTGTAATGTGTGAACCAACTGATGGATTTATGTGAAACTCTGTATTGTTATTGTGCCACTCATATGTTCTTTCAGTTGTCTACCAGCAGCCATATTAACATGGTGACTGAGTTGGGAGCAACACCAGAGCCATTTAAAGTAGATCCTTAAGAAATAAGTCCTGGGTTAAGCTGTTATACCCATTCAGAAGGTTGTGAGTTCAGTCCTCAGTCATATCCGTGTACAGATTTTTCTGCTCACAGATGATGCCTTCACATCTACCAGAGTTCGAGCTTCAGGAATGCAATGGATACCTCCCCCCCC